AAAACAATAGAGTCGTACGAGATACAATCGAAATTGGCCAGCAAGTGTCTCTTATCGTCTGGTTCGTCGCAACTGAGTTTCATGTGTCTCCATCTCCTGTGATCGTATTCACTGAAACTCAACACGGCCATATATATTTGACACCTGTAGGCGTACGGTGCCGTGGCCTAACCTATAAATACGAGACCCATTCGATCCCACGAAAGAGCACAATGGCACGAAGCAACGACCTCGTTGTCGTCTGTCGTATACGGTCACGAGCGCACGAAAAGACCATCCTTTAAAGGTCGAGTGGGCGTTGGCGTTACTTCGCGGACACCCTGTGAACGCGCAGGGATAGGCGTGTTGTACAGCGCGGGCTATTGCAGGGATACCATCGCAGGTAGGACCGGCCTTGGTCCAATGACCTCGCGATCAACCAAGATGTCCTGTCCTCTCGACGACGTAACCGTCGAACGGGGAACCGTGGTCACCAGGTCGACGAACCCCAACGTTCGAACTTTTTTTCACGAAACGAATCACACTGACGGCATTCACACCGAATAAACTTCACCCTTCGTTGTTTAACGCTAGCATTGTTTAACCTGTCACGATCGGTCAAGTAACTGCTTTCAAATTTTTATGTATAATTCTGATATGAGATATATGAATTATATGTAATTGTTTCATGCATTATTGCGTAATTATTGTGTGATCCAGTTTAGGTAATTTGTTGCGTAAGTGTCGCGTGGTTATCCCCACCACTACCTCAAGCTGTTGGCTCGATGTCACCATCTCTCACATTTAATTGTAGGAGTAAAATCTTTCTACTTCGATATGTTATCTACTTTCATCCCCTAACTAAATTATTTTCGATTGTTTCGATTTATAATTGTAGGCATATAATCTTCGATTCAAAATAAAGAGATCAAGCCACCAAAATCTCAAAGTCCCTTCCAGAAAATCCTCTACGTTCCTCGATTTATTTTTCGCGGAAAATTCCTGGGGCTCGCATCGCGTCTCGAAGTATCTCACTCGGTTCTAAATGGAGTGTATCAGCATTTCGCCATAATAGCAGCTAATGGTAGTTCGTCATCGGTTGCACGGTCCAGATAGAGGCTCGTAATACCGCGAAAGTGATTGTAGGCGCTCCCGCGGAATTTATACGACGCTTTCGCTACGATGAGTTATTGGCTTTTGCAAAATGATCCTCAGACTCCGAGTCCCCCGTTCGGTCGATGTTCCGCGCGGTTATACGCTTTACGACGTGCCGGGTTTCAAGCCGGTGATACCTGTTCCGGCTACACCTTGGTGCTATCTTGGTCTTTGCAGAGGTTACGGGCCGGCAGGGATTTTTCCCCCGCGGTCTTTTCAGTTCGGATACACGACCTCGCAACAACCACGTAATGCCTGCATTATACGAGTAATACGCGAATGAAGATTCGAGAATGGGGAAGCAACTCCCTGCTTCGCCGTTATTGCCGTTGTTATTGTTGGCCCTAGGTGCAATGCCACCATCATTCTTACCGATGCGTTTCCTGATGTCTACCAAAAGGTTTTCAGGCCGTTTCGCGAGCCTAACTTCTCATTAGTTCCTTTTTCGTTTCGGAATGGAAAATACGTGGAGACGATTAAGGATGTCTTGTCATAGAGCCAATGATTTTACTTCCGTCATTTCGAAATAAAAATAACCTACTCTTTTCAATGAAAGTACAATAATGGACGATTACCCAAAAAACACCGCAGTGATTAATTATTCGTGAATATCAAAAAGGTATTGCCAGACGCACACGAAGATGCATTTTTGGTGCGCGTGGCACCCATATTATACTTCCATAAAAAGAAGGTTATTTTCATATCCAAAATGACGTAAGTAAAATCGTCACTAGTTCTTCGAACACTTGTTGTACACACAAATAGTGGATTACGTCTGGGATGAGTAACTTATCCCATTTTTATATATTCAGTCCTACGTGTTTCATCAATTATTTGCTCTTTTAATTTCGGAATTACACCTTCAAATCTGCCTTACTTAATTAACTGATTAGAATCCTCTATCCGTGCCTTACGTTCAAGAATAATTCCATTAAAAAATAGAAATCAATTTCAGTATAACACCCGTTCGTTTGCAGGAAATAAATCTCCTCGAGAAACCAACGACGATGAAAATAATATAAAAACTGACGCCGGTTATTCCGCTAATAACCGTCATCAGGAGTTAAAGGGGCGTTAAACATCTCCAATAAGAAGTAATTCAATCTACGTAACATCTTGAAATACATTCGTATACATCACGTTTCGCTGGTATCCCGATGAAAAATGGCGCCCAGTCCGCTGTTTGCTGAGCATTTTACTCGAGACATGTGTAATTATATAATATTGTGGACGCGCAGGGTTATTAAACACCCCGAATGGTAATTATGCAAAGTACGTTTAAATGGTGTATGATGCTTACCATAATTTACGAGGCGAGAAATATATCGATTATGCTCGAACGGCGTATGATATTTACCGACGTCGGTGAATTTGTCAATGACATTTTCAATTGAGGGTTCAGCTTGTCAGTTTGCCGACACCTTGGCTGGCATTTAACTTTGCCGTCTTTAGACGACAGTGCAATTTGTTCGAGTATATCGAGCCGAGTTAATCGACGGGTTCGCGAAATCGTCTAGCGCACAATGCCATTAATTATCTATCGAACGTCGGTGATCCTAACCGAATTTATCATTTCGAATCACGCTGGGTATATTTATCGGTTTTTAATTGACAGCCCCGCGGTCTTTCCCGACCGATTCGTCTTCGGGACGTCGCTCTTTCTTTAGCGATACCTCAAAATATCATTTAGTCGTTACGCTTGGCCAATCGATATACGTTCGATATTCGACGTGACATTTGTCGATCTATTTCGGAGGGAACGAGAAGGATCGTGAATTTTTTGTTTGTTAACACTTAAAGAATTTTTAGAAGATTTCATGCTTTACCGATGAAAATTCCTTTTTACTTTTAAGTATTCTTTGACAAATGAGTCCAATGGTTTCTTATATTATTATACTCAGAGCCTCTAACTATTATAAATGTACCCAGTGTATCCATTCATAAATTACTTTCGCTATTTATTTCCAAATCACACAATAAATATCAATCAATTGTATACCAACTATGGTTAATTATCACTTGCTCTCACTTAGCAGGCGAATTAAAAATTCCCACCTGCAGGAGGTTCAACAAGAGCATGATTGTTACCCATAGCGAAAGTTATAAATGAACCCAATGCATCACACAAAAATATCCAAGCGCCTAGGTCGCGAGGTTAACTACCCCTCGATTACTTAATACCTAATCCACGGTTATTCCATAAAAAGAAAACGCAGACCCGACGTGACTACCGACTCGCAATTAAAAGTTGATTTCTCGATACCCAGACGTATCCTAATTATTTCCAATATGATAGGATCGTGAGTATGAAGCGAGGAATCGGTAAAAATCGCACGAAAGTATCGAGTTTGATCGGCATCGAGAGTTCTGAAATCGTGGGTACAAGCCTAAGCGCGGGGCTTAAGCAGATTACTTTGCTGTTTCTTTTTCTTACTTTTATTTTTCAATCGGTTAATGCTAATCGATTCCGGTCCCCGGTTAAAGGAATCGAAAGTAATTAGCTCTGTTGGTTAATAACGAGTTTCGTATCGCAGACAACACGTGGAAACTAATGGAGTTATTCGGTTTTTTAACGGCGGGGACTACCGGGGATTATGGTCGCTGGGATCGGTGGAAACCGACCGGCCGATAGATCTCGATATTATTGAACGAGTTACTTTCTCGTTTTTATCGTTAATCTTAATGGGGGCCCCTTTCTTCGGGGTGGAATTTAAATTAACATACGGACTTACTTAGGTGGCCAGCTGTAAATTAGAACTCGCGGAATAATAGACGCGTGTGTGCGAGAACGCTTACGTAGAAACGCGACTGCCGTGCGCTGTAATTATGCGTACAATACCGGCGATAAGTTTCGCGTGCGGTTTGGGAGAACCGAGGCTCTTGTTTTGCCTTCGCAATTGGAAGCCTTTGTATGTATTGTGTGAAAATGTCTGTATATATTTGGTAACATGAATCAAAGGTACCATTATTGAATATCCTCCTCGACGATGGAAACGGTCCAATAGGCTACCTTCTTAATTAATACCGGCGATAAGTTTCGCGTGCGGTTTGGGAGAACCGAGGCTCTTGTTTTGCCTTCGCAATTGGAAGCCTTTGTATGTATTGTGTGAAAATGTTTATATATATTTGGTAAAATGAATCCAAGGTACCATTATTGAATATCCTCCTCGACGATAGAAACGATCCAATAGGCTACCTTCTTAATTATTTAACTACAAGGAACTCTGGATGATCGCAAACCGATTAGAGCCTTCTCGCAACCTAGACCTTGTACAATGTCTTCCTAGAAAAATAACTTGGTCTCGATTCGTCGACGTTTAATTAATTTCGAGGAAAATGGAGAACATTAGGGGCGATTTTTAACAAGGTACGTCGACGGGAATCGCAGGCGATAAATACAAAGATAGATCGCGGCAGCTGTACGAAGTAACCGTTCCAGGTACATCGGTGGCGATCCTCAAGATAAGCTAGCTGGTCCCTTTATCGATCCCTAATCGCGTCCGAACGTAAATCGAGGCGAGGCGTGTCCGTCTACTCCTGCTGGGTATCCAACGTTACAGCCGTGAAGAGTTTCCTGGTGTAAATCACCGGATTGAAAAAATCCCACTATAACCGTGGACGTTCCTCGACATCATAATAAACATCCAATAAAGAGACGACTCCGATACGATCCATAAAGTCACGTTTTAACGGCGGTAGCCTTTTGACGAGACGTTTCTCCATCGTTCCCTGGATCATTTCAATTAATATACGAATATTCGACTTGTTATAAAGCCGAATTAATTACGCGGCGTTTTAATAAGCAACACTTAACGATTAACGAATTGAACGTACTCGACGATAATCCTTCGATAGTGGCAAACGATGAGAACGATCGTTAAAGGTTTCGCGATGTTGTCTACGCGTTGAATTGCACCGTTCAAACGGCGGGTCGTCTTGACTTTGTAAATGAAGTCAGCTGCAGTGACAACGCGTCTCGGCCTGTCTCTGACGTCGTTTCATGGTAATTAACTCTATTCATTTAGGCGCAAACGCTCGGCGACTGAATAAACGTTTCCCTTCTGGTAATTGACTGAGAGTGTCGCGCGGAGTGACGCAAGTATTTTTTCCTTTTTTTTTATACGCAGATCAAACACTTGCCAGAGAGCATACGAAAAAGACGAAACTCCGACATTGTTTGCGGAGTGCTAATCGCTTCGAAGGTGTGACGACTAAATACCGGCAGCCGTGTGTACGAACACGACTCGTGTTTGCGTTTAATATGTCGTTTCTCGCTTGGGGACGCGGACATTTTGCGAAACTTTCGACAAGGGACTTCTTTACTGGCTGGAAAAATAGGTAATGGATCGTAAAAAGAAAATTATTCTTGAGAATTCCACTGACGTAACGAATTCAAGTTGTTTAATTCCATTTTTAATGAAATTTAAATTGGGTATTCTTAAACGTACACACTTACATAGAATTGAAAATAAAATCTTTTTTACTCGACAAAGTATCTTAAACCACAAAGTAATTTTGAAGCTTATTTATAAACCGGTGTCCTCTTCTTCTAGTGAATTATGAGAATGTATACCTAGAGTTCAATCGATTGATTATTTGATATCGAGCTGATGGGAGTAGGTAAATAATATCATGTATTTGATTAGGTAAATTTTTATAGGAAATTAATCGAACTATCTCGATTACGTATGGTCACGCATATCCAGTGATAAATGTGGAAATTATGATGAAAGTACAGCAAGCGTGTTAATGAATTCAGTAATTAAGTCCACTCTTCGAGATATTATCGAGAAACCAGTGTGAAACCACTTCGCTTCTTCGAGTACTGGTAATTATAGGATGATAGCGAAAAGTGCAATGGTTCAGCTATATAGGTGTTTACGCTATCGTCTATCTTACTATTCCAGTGTAAACTTGTTATGCCAAGTTTTGAATATTAATGAAAAAGACTCTCAAACACTGCAACTCTTTTTTGTTTTACTTTACAATACACTGGCTCCTTGTAGTCGAATACTTGAAATCTAACACATGGAGATGGACCCTTTTAAGGAGGTGCCTAATAACACCACCGAGCCTCAAATACTTGACCATAAGAATACATCTTAAACTCTACGTTAAAAGACGATTATGATACTTTTACAGTGAATCAGTTCCTCGAATACCGTCCTCAAGTATCGTGAGTTTCTCGAATATTCGCGAACCACCTGGGGTAGTTCGTTCATCCCAAACGAAAACATCGAGTGCAAAGTGTTAATACTTTACAAGCTAGTCCAGGTACTTTAAAAGAATCTTCTAATATCTTTACCAACTTCTCAAATACTTAGAGTCCAGACCTACCAGAGTCTAACCTCTCCTCAAGTACATATTTTGAGTTTCTAGAACATTCGAGAACCACCTAGAGTATCTTGTTCACCCTAAATATCGAGCGCAAAGGGTTAATGGGATCGTCTGGCCTAACATCATCTGATACACGTTTTTCGAAATCGTGCATCACATTAACAGGGTGAGAGTATCCGGAACAGTTCGATGTACGTGCATCGTTGTTGCGGAGTGTGCGAGGTCGTGTGGTTCCAGCAGGATGTCACGTGATATGCGGTGTGCGGTACGTTGGCCATTCGTGCTGTACAGTACGATGCATTTCCAGTTTGCTAGCCTGAGCTCTACCACCGGCTTATGCTCGCCTCAATAGAACGCGTGCTGCGACATTCTTCGTTTTATGCCGACACTGTCGCTGCCTCGAATACGCGGTCACTGGAATTAAGGGAAGTTCACATCATCGAGCACTTGTTAGAGTGATAAACAACGTTATCCAGAAGATCGTAATCCGTGATTCAAGTCGCTCTAACGACGCAGCCATCGAATGGCATCGACTGCCCGCGTAACGAAGCGTCGGCGTAGATCACTGTAGATCCTCCAGTGGTCTCTGCGAGTGGAAGACTTTCCTTGGGATGAATTTTCCTGTATTGGAAACGGAGGATATTTAAGATCATAGGGGTTGGGCTGGTGAGAAAGTCTTTTGGAAGGATTTTCCTGTATTCGAAATGGGATTGTGTAATAGTTGTTAATTTGTAGAATTTCTTTGAGGGGTGTTGGATTTATTAGAATGTTTTCTAAGATTTTGTAGATATGCTTGATATATGAATTCATTTTTTTGTCCAAGCTACAACTTTACTTTGAATAAAACTCTAAAAAAAGGATGGAATACTCTGTATTTTGCTGTATTATTCTATATCATGCTGTATTGTCCTGTAATACCCTATGTGTTATTTTGTACTGTCCTAGAATATTCTGTACTATTATGTATTTTACTGTTTCTTATGTAGTATTAAGGTGCATCGTGCTGAAGTACCGTATACTAAGCTGTATTATTTTGGAATATTCTGTATTCTGCAGTATTATGGCGTATTAAAAGTTCACTTTCCGTAGTTGTATTTATACTTGCTGTCTAACAACCTAATCGTTTCAAGCCTACCACTTATCCCAGCAGAAATCGTTTTCCAAAAAGTCTAGAAATCCGACGTTACGGTCTTCCGTCCAACCACGTAATGCCAGAGGCATAAATCTTTAACGTTGTGCGGAACGAGTGCAAACGATTAACTATTTATTGAGTGGACGGTGTGTTATCACGGTACACGATGTTCGGGTGGTGTGTGGACGCCTTTATCTCGCAGCACGGTAGACACATCGGCTACCATTGACGCGTTCTCTACCACCGACATATTTATGAGCACTTCGTCAAGGTTCGAGTTTTCCTAGACCGGTCTTTCTTCCTCCGCGCGAGCCATCTCCGCCGCCCAGGATTCCTCTGACAATCACCACGCGATTCCTCTTCATTTACCCTAGCGCGACGAACAAAAGCGCGAGAGCAGCCGGAAAGAATCCACCTAGTAAAGGTTGCAAGCGACAAATCGTCGTTGATTAATCGCGACCTTGCTGTGAAAGGTATTTCTCGTGACTGGAGACGTTTGCTAAACACTGAAAATTCAGGTATATATCGAGGTACCAATGAAACATCTATGGTACATTTAGTTTACAAACGACCCGTGCATCGCACAAATCGATCAACTCCATAAAACAAAAAGTCGAGAAATGCGACGAAATATGAAAAGTTATTACCGTACCAAGTGCTTTGACCCTTAAATTTCAGATTTTCTCAAAAAGTGAAGTTAATCGATGTTCGTGCAATGAACGACTCGACTGTCAGGCGTCCCGCCCAACACCTCGATCCATAAATCGAAACATCTCCTCCTTAAATCCTGTTGTAATTAACGAAAGAGCCCTCCTCTTCCTTCCATTCAGCCTGTCCAACCGCTCCAAGCACGCTAACGTTCACGCTTGAGGAACTCCGCGATCTTTTAACAGCCTGTACATCTTCGACGTCGCGGGAATCACGGGATTATCACCTCGGGTAATGTCAGGTGTGAATGTCAGCGAAACGCTCTAAAGCCAATGGCACAGGTTTTCCCGCGGTCGAACGGTCGCGCGCGTCATCCCCGAGGAGGAGAGGGAGGCACGTGCTGCCACGTGCGTGCAATTACGCAAAACCCATATGATTTAATCGTTCTTTCGCACGCGCAGGGTTTCGTGTCGCCCGAGCAACGTCCCGAGGATTTCCTACGGTAGGAAACTAGCTCGTGTCGGCTTCCTCGGTGCCACGCAGCGCTAGGTAGCCGCGAGAAACACGGGTACAAACCGGCCGTACAAAGGGTATTTGCGTCGATTAGCATTAATACGTCCGACGTCCAGCTGAGGAGCTGGACTCGATCTCAGGTACGAGAGGCAGCATTCCTCTTCTGGTTCTTCGTGCTCCTTCCTTTTTTTTCTTTTCGCCGCGTCTCTACGCCTACCCCGTTCCTATCTTTTTCGCCTGCCAGGTGAACCGCCATCTCTATGGTAATCCGTTCAAGATTTCCGAGGAAAACGCTGTCGAATTTTTCTCGAGTGGTCCCGTTTCGCGCCAGGCCACCGCTGGCAATTACGGTAATGGAAGCGGCCAGCGGTCGCAAGAAACAATTTCGGAGCCATTTTTGCGAGAGGAGGTATGCTATTTGCTGGGGTGTAACGTGTCGAGGTAGATCGGCGGCGATGTCTGGGATTAAGGGGAGGAGGATCGTGGAGGATATGGCTGTTCGTTTTTATGGGATACTGGGGAAATTATTGGTATTGGTTCGAGGGTCACGAGTAGACTGCCAGGTTTTATGCACTTGTAGGAAATTTAACAGGAAACTCTGCGGTACGCAATAATATACGAAAATATTGAAAGTAAAGTTTATATTATAATATTAGGTCGTCCCATAAGTTCGTGCCGAAGACTGTGTCGAAACTTAATAAAAAACCACAGAAATTTTCTAGTAACGGTGTAATGACTATGTGAAAGAGGTGAGAAACTATTGTGAAATGAGACAGATTATCTTTTCTTGTGGCACTTAAGAGTATGTTTAACATATTAATTTGAGAAATAGAAGTATAAATGGCACGAACTTTTGGGGCGACCTAATAGTTTCAGAGTAAGATAAATCAATATTTATTGGGGAAATAGGAAAAATAGGAAACAACTACGTTTTACTCTAGATTCCGCAAAGATTTAAGTATCAAGAAGATGATAAGAACCGAAACTTCTTCTGTAAGTGTAAGAAAATTAATTCATTTTTTATTTTTGTTTGAACGTGTTTGTTAGAAGAAAGAGTAGAATAATTCTCTTTATTTATTACTTCACTTCATACTCATGGTGACTTCTCGCAATGACATAACTACACTCGCGTACAGGCACTTGTCCACGCTGATGATCGTTGTTTTCTTCGTTCCCCAGAAGAACGATACGTAACCGTGCGTGATCATAATTCTGTAAATCGTGCATGGACACAGGAAATGTCTGCCTCCGCGGTGTACTATTAAGAGCAATTCGTCCGTTCGAGCCGATTTCTCTTGGAGCGCTGGTATTACCGATGATTAGGCCAACGAATCAGGTTTTCAGAAAAAAATCACAATTCTCTTCTCGAGAAAGGCGTATGGCCAGGCAAATGGTGATTTGAAACTCCCACTTTATAACGATTCAAATGTTCTCTACTTGTATCCATTGTTTTACCCAATTCTGTATAAAAACCTTAAATTAACAATTAATTGGGTTAAATTTCTTACATATCGAAAGTCATTTAACCGAACTGACCAACGTTCCAAACCCCTAGTTCCTATTACATACAAAATTTCGAAGCAATTTTATAATAACTTCATTCTATTTAAACAATTGAAAATTGTACCTGAACGCTTCGATGCTCTCAGTCAAGACCAATCGACGCAAAGGTCGCCAAAAGTACGTCGCACAGAATTCTCGGTGGCGTTATGCAACCTGCGGTGGCTGGTCCTTGATCCTGTTGCGGAGATACGCTCGATTAACGGACGTCTGCGTTTTCGCTACGCGCATTCCATACACACGCTTTCTCGTTCGATGCACGGTTGCATAACGCACGACGAATTGCATAATCCGTGCTGCACTGCCAGTTGATCGAACATCGAGTGTCGCACCTGGAAAGAGTACACGCGACACTCTTTAATCCTTTCCAATTTAAAAGTTATTGAAATTAGTGCATTTAAAAGTTAACGAATGCCACTCGCCGGAAATTGTCCATGTGTTTAACGATTGAATAACACTGGTAACTCTGGATGGTTAATCGTTTTCGTTTCTGAAACGAGTAAGAGAGAAAGAACGCGTTCTGTCGAGGCCTCGTTCGGCCGAGTGCCCACGCCCTTCCGACAGAACGATTTCCTATCGGACATGCAAACTCTGACTTACGTGTCAGCCAATGGACAGGTTTCCGCAATAAGGAAGCGAACGTTATGATCGATCTTTCAGTCCTGACAATGCACGCAGATTATTCTCAATGAGCGTCTCCTCCAGTGCCGCTGGGTAGAAGCGTTTCTCGATCGCAACGGCAGTGTTTGGAAACATCTATAAATTATTTCGCAAAAATATCACGTCAACGGAAAAGTACGCGTCTTTCTGACCAAAATTCAAAATACATATTTTTTCATTTTTCAAATGAACTTTTCAAACCAAATACTTTCAAAATTATTCGGGAGAGCGTTAAACTGAAGATCCAAATGTTCCCGGAAGTTTTTCCTTGACCCGATATATGCCCCACTAGGGTCGAAACTTAACTTAACTTAACACTCTGTCTTTGGCATCTTCAACCCAATCCTTCGAAAAGCTCGAGTACCCCATCTCCCCGTCAGAGGCTGATCGACACCGCCGGACTTTATCGCGTTCATCTTTAGTTCATTTTTCCTTTTACATGGCGCATTTCCATGCTGTTCCTCTCTCACGGTAACGAGACGCGCGTAACAACAAAAACCGAGCAAAACAAACAGCGGAGCGATGAATCGCGATGATTCCGAACCGGAGAAACAAAACACGTTGCTCCGCGGCGTATCATCGCGTCGCATCGAGGGGTCGGAGCAACGTTACACGATTAATCTCGGATTGAATATAATCACCTAATGTGCCTTATCAAAGAGGTTCGGTGCACGGTCTGACACGGTCGTTCCGGACGTAGTTACATATTACGGAATACCTTTTTCTCGCGTGGACGTTGTTATAGTTGGTTGAATCGCGGAGATGAAGCGATGATTGCGATTGCGAGCAGAAAGATGCTTGTTCGGGGCACCGGTTCAAATTAGTATCCAGGATACAAGGAATTAAAGGAACTGGCAGACGAAGTGGGAATATTAAAACATGAAGATTTAGGGCCAATAAAAATGTTGAGGATGGAGATATCGGTGAGGTATAACTTCGTTCGAGGAATTGAAGACTTGATCGTGTCTTATGGGAAAGATATGTCTCCTCGGAATGATTTAAATCAATACAAATATTAAGCTGTCCCAAAAGTTTCTTTCGCTTTATTAATAAGTAATACATTCACAATATTTTACGTTTTATGTTACATTACTGAATTGTGCACGATCCATTTTGCTCTATTACTGTTACAACATCGACGTCTATAAAATTAGATTGTTTATTTATATAAACACTGGCACGTAAAATAATTGAGTGCAACACGCGAAAGAAACTTTCTGGACAACCTGATATATCCCAGGAAATGTTTCCGAGTGCTTTTGATATAGCCAAGCCTAGTTTGATACATTTAATGTCTAATAAAAGAGAAAAGAATAGAATACAAACAGAAAAAGGTCGAAGGGGTTAAGATCTACTTAGTCGGACACTGTTGAATGAGTTTCTAACGGACAGCCCTAAAAATGATTGTCGAGAATTCTAAAATGCAGGCACACGTTAATAAAACTGGCGCAACTTCATTCGTCTTCTTCGTTTCGAGATATAAAGAGATAAAGACCTAG